CGGACCTCCGAGTTTTTATGTTTATGCCACTTTTCGTTCCCCTATTCAGGCACCACCTGCAACGACATGCCAACGACGGCGGCGGCGGCGGCCTCCCCAAAGATCGAAGGCGTCTCAGCGTTTTCGAGCCAGGTGATCTCGCCCCGTTTCGGGCCCGTGGGTCTTCACAGAGCGGTCCAGCTGGCGGTCCAGCTAGAAAGCTGGCGCAGACGAATGGGGCGGCCACGGGCTGCGTTCGAGATTTTTTGACGACGTTTCAATGAATGGGCGACGTCGAACCTCAGGGTCCGCAGCGACGGCGACGACGTGGCCGACGACGACGGCAAGGGAGCCGACGGTGCCGCCGCCGCTGACCTCTGGAGGCCTGAGGAGGCTCCTGGGAGTCTCCGCGGAGGTGGGTGGTAGGGCTGAGCCTAAGCGGTGTGTTTCGTCTTCATGTTGCTTTTTTGTTTATCCTCGTTTTGCCTTCGCTTCGCCTAGAATGCAACATAACACGAACTACAAAACGGCCCACGAGATTACCAAAACACGGTTTCGGTCCAGCCCTGGTGGCTGGAGGCCCCCAGGGAAATGCGAGGGCCTCTGGGGACACGCGAGAGCCCAGGAGGTGGGCAGGCAGCGCAACAGAAGGCATCGATCCTCAACCCTCCACCCTCAAAGCGGCGGCGACGGCGGCAGCGGCGGCGACGGCGGCAAGGGCAACCATGACGACGACAAGATGAACAAACACATCATCATTCCCCTGATGCTGCGACATCTACGCCCGCCTATCTCGCACACGGTTTTGTTATGAGCACGATTGTTCCGACTTGGCTTTCCACATTGCTCCCTCATCAGAAAGATCTCGGCCTGTCAACAAAAATATTATCCCGCTGCAGCGTTTGCCACGTTCAATGATCTCCAGGGGGCCTCCGTCCAGCGGAACGGCGCTTTCGCCGCTCTCGCATCAGTGAGCGTAGTGCTTCCACTGTAGGGTTTTCCACATTTGCGACTCTGTCAGTGGTCGTCCTCGCCATCCTCCTCCCTGGTCACCTGCGTTCCCGCCCCCTCCCAGTCGCCGCCCTCCTCAACGACCTTCCTTTTCCCCCCTCCTTCCTCCCCTTGCTCCCCGTCCTTCCTCGTCGCCACCCTCAATCCAACCCTCTCCCTCGTCCGTCTTCTCTCGTCCTCCCCCCTCCTCCTCCTCGCCTCTCCTCCTCCTCCTCCTCATCCTCCTCCTCTCCTCCTCCTCCCCCTCCTCCTCCTCCTCCTCCTCCTCCTCCTCCTCCTCCTCCTCCTCCTCCTCCCCCTCTTTCTCTTCCCCTCCTCCGCCTCCTTCATGCCTTCCCAGCTGTTGACTCCCAGGGATTACGGTCCTCTTCGATGAGATTGCCCCTTGGGGGCCAAGGTCTTTCCCACAACCAGAGTCTGCGAACAGCAACATATTCAAAGCAATGGAAAAGTATGTGCGGGAAGGGGTAAGACGTAAGGTCGGGCGCCGCCCTTGGCTTGAAAAAAACGCGTCTCCCTTATCAATGCGGCTATTTTGCCGGAGAGGTCCTGGCTATCTGGGCGCGAAATGGCCCGTGCCATACCCCCCCCTGGCGGCACCCCCTTTGGCGGCCCAGATGCCATGCCTGCTACATCGCTGTGGTCATAGGGCTCTGAACAAAAAACGCGTCAACCTTCCCAAACTGGCCATTATGCCTGAGATGTTCCAATCAACTAGGAGCGACCAGGCTCGCACCGTACCTCCAGGCGGCTCCCAATTGCGAAACCGAGCAGTCCTGCCTGCTGCATAGTGATGACCATGTGGCTTCGAAAAGAGGCGTACCAAGCTGCCTCAAAATGAAACATTCTGCCTAATTTGTCTCGGCAGTCTGAGCGCGAAAGGGCCCGTAACATACCCCTTGGCGCTCCCCCTTGGGGCGGCCCAAATACCATGCCAGATATATAGCTAAGATCATGGGGCTCTGTCGAGAGACGCGTTCCCGCCAACAAAAACTGTCATTCAGCTTGAGAGGTCCGGACAACCTTGGCTCGAACAGGCCGGCGCCATACCTCCTGGCGGCTCGCGCTTTGGCGTCCCACAAGCCATGCATGCTACAAAGCGGTGGTCAAGAAGACTTGGAAAAATGCGCGCACCCCCTCCTGCACAACGGCCATGATGCTGGAGAGGTCTCGACATTATGAGCGCAAGAAAACCGTATGGCACCCCCTCACGGCGCTTCTTGGGTAGGCCCAAATGCCATGCGCATGTTATGGCGATGATCATGGCCTCTGTCAACAAACACGTCTGCCCTTCCAAAGATGCCCATTCTGCAAGGGGGTCCTAATAGCGCGAAAAGGACCGTACCATTCCCCCTCGCGGCCCCCCCGTTGGCGGCCCGGATGCCGCGCCTGCTACATGGCGGTGATCATGGGGCTATGAAAAAACGCGTGAGCCTTCCCGAACCTGTCATTCTGCCTGAGATGTCGCGATAATCTAAGAGCGAACGGGCCCGTGCCGCACTCCTTGCCGGTTTCCACTTGGCGATACCGAGACATGTTCCTGCTGCATCGCAAGATTGGAGCTTCGATCAGAGACTCTCCAACCCCCCCACACGGCTATTCTGCCTGAAAGGTCCTCAATCTGGGCGCGAGAAAGCCCGTGACATACCCCTTGGCGCCCCGGGAGGCCCAAATGCCATGTGTGCTACATCGCGGTGTTCACGGGGCTCGGACAAGAGACGCGTCAAACCCAATAACAATGGTCATTCCGCCTGAAATGTTTTGACAATCTCGGCGCGAACGGCACCGTGTCATGCCCCCTTGCTGCTCCCTCATTAACAGCCCAGATGCCATGCCTGAAACGTAGCGATTGAAGCGGAGAGTGAGTGGGCTTGAGCGTGAACAGGGGAACTCTGAGAATGATCGAACCTGAATGCCAGTGGGTGTGAATATGAGTGGGCCCTAGTATGAGTGAGTGCGAATATGGGCGAGTCTGGGTGCGAGTGAGTTTGAGCGTGAGTTCATGTGAACGTGATCGAAACCGAGCGCGATATAGCTGTGAACATTAGCGTGGGAGGGAGGCGGGCTGCGAGGGGGGATGTGCGTATGGGGTTGGAGCGGCATCTGAGCCAGACGCGAAGCCACTGGTACTTGAGGGCCTCGCTTCGCCTTTGAAAGCGGACGATATCCGTATTGCGGATCAGCTTAGATCGTAACTTCTTCATGCTATAGCAGGCGGATGCAAGCGAAAGCGACAGAAAGAGAGAAAGAGAGAGGGAGAGAGATAAACGGAGAAAGAGAGAGAGAGAGAGAGAGAGCGAGAGAAAAAGAGAAAAAGAGAGAGAGAGAGAGAGAGAGAAAGAGATGGAGAGAGATGGAGAGAGAGAGAGAGAGCGAGATGGAGAGAGATGGAGAGAGAGAGATGGAGAGAGATGGAGAGAGATAATACATAGACAGACAGAAAGGGGGAGAAATAGAGAGAGAGAGAGAGCGAGAGAGAGAGAGATAGAGAGAGCGAGAGAGAGAGAGAGAAAGACAGGCAAAGAGAGAAAGAGCGAGAGGATAGCAAAAGAGAACACAAGAGAGAGGAAGAGAGCGAGAGAGAGAGGGAGAAAGAGAGAGAGAGAGAGAGAATAAAGAGAGAGAGAGAGAGATAACAACGAGAGAGAGAGAGAGACATTAACACATCAAGAGGGCGAGAAAAGGAGAAAGAGAGATGGAGAGAGAGAGAGAGAGACAGTGAGAGGCAATACGATATGATACTATAGTCACAAGTAAACAAAGGGAAGACACGACCAGGCATATCGATATATTGTATATATATAGTTAAACAAAGATAGCGAGAACGAGAAACAGAAATAGAGAGAGAGAGAGATGGACACAGGAAGAGAGCACAAGAGAGAGAGAGGGAAGAGGGAGAGACATACCAACACATCTATGTTTATATATATATAGAGAGAGAGAGAGAGAGAGAGAGAGAGAGAGAGAGAGAGAGAGACACACACAACACAGTTAGAGATATACAGAGAGCGAGAGAGAGTGAGAGAGAGAGGGATAAAGAGAGAGTGTGAGAGAGAACAAGAAATACAGAGAGAACGAGAGAGAGAGAGAGAAGGAAACACACACGCACACACATATAGAGAGAGAGGGAGAGAGATAAAGAGAGAGAGAGAGAGAGACGGAGAGAGAGAGAGCGAGAGAGAGAGAGAGACGGAGAGAGCGAGAGACGACAGAGAGGAATCCATAGACAGAAAGGGAGAAAGACAGAGAAGGAGTACATAGACAGACAGAAAGGGCGAGAGGGAGAGAGAGAGAGAGAGAGAGAGAGAGCGAGAAAGAGAGAGAGAGAGAGAGCGAGAGAGAAAGAGAAACAATATAAACAAAAGAGAAGGAGAAAAAGAGAGAGAGAGAGAGGAGAAACTTATCTGGGCGAAAAACCCAACCATATGCAGTTGTGAATACCGGAGTTGTGAGTACTTTCTTCGGTGGAACTCCCTAGCAGCATGCGAACGCAGCTGTTGGGGCCTTCGGTGGGCCTCCCTATGGGGGCCATCGAATCCATTCGCGCCGCTGTCGATCCCGCCGACGGGCCGGCTGCGCGTGCTCAGCTGTTGCCGCATGCGTTCGCGCCATGGAGTCAGCCCGTCGCCGATCGGCGCCCCGCCGCCCCGCCGGGGCCATCTCGGGCCAACTTGCACGGGCGCGATGGAGCGCCCTGAGCTCAGTCAGCGCCGTGCTCCCGCGGCTGCGGATGCCGCTGTGTGGGATGCGCCCCCCTTGAGCGAGGTCCAAGAAAGAAGTCTGGCGCTGCTGCGCCGAGGACGTCCCGCGCGCGTTGGCAGTCGCAGCCGAACGCTGGGCCGGCGTCTGCCCTCAGCGGAAAAGGACCTCTGGGCGCGACCGCGTTGCCTGACCTGTTGTCGGTCGTCGGCATGGCGTTACAGTGGGGGCTCGGCCACAAGAAACCTCCGCTAAAAACCCAACCCTGAAATATGCGATTTGTGCAGTGAGAACCCACATGTGTCGATCGACAATGATTGGGAGCCCATCAAAATCCAAGAAACCCAGGGCACCCTGGCAAAACCCAACTGGTTTCTTGGCACGCGCCCCCACTGCAATGCAGCGCGAGCAGCAAGCACGCGCCCGCTGCTCGCGTGCACCAGTCGTCGGGGGCGGGGCCGCGCGCGAGCGCCTTCCGTCTGCGAGCTGGGGGGCGCGCTCCAATCCCAAAATCCAGTTGTGCCACGCTTGACTCTCGTGCTGCGGGGGTGAGGGCGGGGATCGGCGGGGCGCGGCCGCGTGCGGGCGCCGCCAGTTCGAGAGGCGGGGGCGCGTTCCCATCCACATAGCCAGCTGCGCCACAAATCGTGCTCATGTCGTGGGGGAGTTAGGGTGGGAATCGGCGTGGGGCCCTCTGGCTTGCCCGACCTGGCCATGTTGGCGCTACTCCTGTTCCGAATCCAACTAAAGGGGCCCCAGGACACACAAATAAATACACACAAATAAAATGATTCCTCATATTTTGCCATATTTTCTGGGTTTATGTCTTCCCCCCCACTTCCCATATTTTCCTATATTTTCTGGGGAATCGAGGATTCATTGTGTCTGTGTGTTTCTTTTCCTCCTGACCAACGCCTACCCTTATCTCCTATTGCCACATGCGGCCGCTCTGGGCCTCTGCCGGCCTCTACGTCAGAAACAATGCAGCTTCAATGTGTCGAAGCAATCAAAAACATGCAAACAAAAACAAAAAAAAACAATCCTGGTTTGTCGTCGATGTCGCAGACCGCGCGGCAAGAACGGGGCGGGGTGCGCACCCCGCGTGGCGCGAGAAAAAGCCGAAAGGTCGCTCTGGCCTCGGCGCCGCGCTCATTTTTCTAAAGCGTTGGCCTGCCGCCTGGGCGCGGCGCACTTTTTTAAAATGCACTTCTTCGCCGGCGTGCGAGCGGACGAACGTGTTGCTGTCGCCGCCGAGTAGAGTTCGCATGTAAGCGGCGCTCCCGCCCCGACGCGACGCAGACTTGTCTCTCGCCAGTTTCGTCGGGGGGGCGCGCGAGTGGGCGACTTGTGGCGCTCGCCCGCGCTTCGTGCGCGTTTGGTTCGTAGGTGGCGTTCCATCGCGGGCGCGGCGTGTGGTGCGTTCGCTGAATCGCAGTCGAGCGACAGCGGCCGGGGCCGCGCGAGAGCAGGCGAACTGTCGACCTAGCCCAAACGCCGGGTAGCTTGCACATGAACGTGGAAATGCTGTGTCAACGGGGCGTATGCTTCGTCTTCGACGCTCCCGAGGTTTGCCGCTCCCGCCCCGCTCCCGCTCCCGCCCCTGCGCGGACCGCGTAATTGTCTGTTCGCCAACTCGTCGGAAGCGGGACCGCGCGCGAACTCCTTCCGTTTGCGAAGTAGAAGCAGAAGTGTGTTTCAATCCCTAAGTCAGATGGTGCCCCAATTGATCATTATGTGCTGGGGGGTAAATCGGATTTCGGCGGGGACCTCTGACCCCCTCGACCTGGTTAACTTGACTCCTCCTCCTATTCTATTTTACCCTGCTGTCGTCCCCTCTCTGTCTCTACGCTACTACACTCCGGATCTACTCTAGTCGATTGTCACTCTACACTCCTCTCGTCTCTTCCTATCTACTTCATTCGACCCTGCTCTGCTCTACTCGACTCTTCTACTGTTCTCTGCTATACTCTGATCTTCTACTTTGAACTTGTCTACTGTACGCGACCGACTCGACTCTGCCATTACCCTACCCTGCTCTGCTCTTCTTTACCCTACCTTACTCTCTCATACCCTACACGTCACTCTAGTGTATTCTACCCTACTCTATTTTAGCATGCTCTACTGCTCTCCTATTCTACTCCATTTGGTTCCTTCTTCACCCTCTTTAAATTTCCCTTCCTCTCCTCTCCTCTCCTCCACTCTGCTCAGCTCTACTGTGCTCGACTCTGCTCTGCTCTACTCTATCTTTTCTAGTCTACTCCACTCTATTCTGCTCTGCACTACTCGACTTCTAATTTTGACGACAGTTCAACGATGGTTGGGGCGCCATTGGACTGGCCACAGGAAGCCAATGCAATAGCAGAGGAAGCCATGCGGATACAGAGGGATCCATGCGGAGAGCAGACGAAACATGCGGATACAAAGGAAGACGTGCGGATAGCAGAGGAAACCATTCGCACAAAAAAGGAAACCATGTGCAACAGAGGACACCTGCAGAGGGAGCCCTGCGGATAGCAGAGGAAGCCATGCGCAACGCAGGACGCGCGCAAGGGCAACATATAAAGCCATGCGGATGGAAGTGGGAACCATGCGAAAATGGAGGACGCGTTGGGGGCAAAATAGAAGGGGGGTGTCAGTGGACCAAGTCTTTCTGGATTGAGCCCGCACTCCTAATTATAGGGACGCTGAGAACGCACGCACCGCAATCCCCCCACACAGACTTCCAGCAAGGTGTTAGTTTCTGATCCTCGCTGACCGGGGGCATCAAACGGGGTGCGAAGCTTTCTGCAAACCTCGATCCCCTTTCGTTTGTTGCCCCCCTTTGGTCGTTCGCCAGAGATTCGTTCCCAGCTGATTATGGTGTGTCGCGTTTTTCCTCGCTTTCGGCTTTCGAGAGGATCCTGCTGGCCCCCAGCCCACCACCAAGACAACCTGGGATTGACGAGCTGTCCTTGGAGAAGGGGTCGAGAGCTCCAAGAAACGTAACCGGCTGTTTTTCCACGTGACGCTGGGTGAGCAAACGCAGTATCAATGACGCCCCGCCGTGAGGAACCCGTCGGCGTGTTCTTGTCGATGAAACACTGTGCCGCCGGAGGCAACGAAGGAAACCGCGCTGACGGCACCCGCTGGCGGGAGGCCCTCGGCGCCCTCCTGCGCTCACGCGATCGGTCGGCCAAGCCCCACTCGGAACGGACGAGCGGGGGGATCATTAGCGAGAGGGGGGGTAATGAATCACCCTCACGCAGCTGGTTTTCCCGGCGATTCCCGGCGCTGGGAGGCGCCCATGCGTCGTCGAGAATGGCGCCAGGCGGCGGGGTCGAAACCAGCTGCGTGCCATAAGTTTCGTAAACCTCCTTTCCCTGTCCCCTCCCCCGCCTTTCGTCCGACCCGACTCATCATGCACCCTCGGCAATAAATAGGGGAACGAAAAATGGCATAAACATAAAAACTCGAAGTCCGCGCTGATTTCTTGGATCCGCGCTGACCCCCTCCCTGGCGCGCGGAGCGCGACAAGGGCGGCGCCGGAGGCGCCGCCCAGGGGCCCCAGCGCCGATCCGAGAAATTCGCGCGGACTTCCGAATTTTTATGTTTATGTCGTTAGTCGTTCTCCTAATTCGCCGGCCTAACGGGCCAGATGCGTGCTAAGATCTCCGGTGCCTGCATGGGGGCCCCCAGACGACAAGTACCCCGGCCAGGTCCCGTCCACTCCCGGGCCACTCCCGGGCGATCAACCCAGAACGCCCCCAGGGGAGGGCCATCTTTCGACACCCCTCACGAGGATCGTGGCCTCCGAGGGGGGAGCCGCAATCGACTGCCTGCCCCACCCGCCCCAAGAGGCCCCCCGAAGAGCCCCTGAGAGGCCCCCCAAGACGCCGCCAGGGAGCCCCAGGAGGCCCCCAAGAGACCCCCCAAGAGGCCCCAAAAAGAGCGCTCCAGGGCCGGCGGAATGAGCGAAGCGATGAAATAAAGACCCTCGACGCCGCCCCCAGGCCTCCGAAGTCGTATTTTCGATTCGTTTGTTCAGTGTGGTGATGATGATGGTGATGGTGATGATGCTGATGACGATGATGATGGTGGTGGGGGCGGTGGTGGTGGTGGAGGTGGTAGAGGTGGTGGTGATGATGATGATGGTGATGGTGATGATGGTGATGCAGCTAATGCTTCTGCTGCTGCTGCTGACGAACACGACGACGACGACGATGATGATGGAAGAGGAGGAAGAGAGAGGGAGGAGGAGAGGGAGGAGGAGGAGGAGGAGGAGGAGGAGGAGGAGGAGGAGGAGGAGGAGAAGGAGGAGGAGGAGGAGGAGGAGGAGGAGGAGGAGGAGGAGGAGGAGGAGGAGGAGGAGGAGTGTCCCTGTGCCTCTCGACGACCCCTTCCCTGGGGCCAGCTCGTCGTCGCGGATCCTCGCTGCTTTTGCATGCCGAGAGCCAGGACAACTCGCCGGGGGTCAGAAGTCACGACGTGCAGCCATCGTTCTACAGTGTTCGACCTGACCTAAGGAACGATGAATGAGGAACGAAGCCCCTTTTTTCCAAGTACGTCTAGGAAGTCCGAAGGAACACCAGGGGGGCTCGCCGCCAAAAAGGTAGCAGAACGCATGCAAACCGAAGGAACGACCGAGCCCCTTTGGAGAAGTGAGTGTTCCTTATTCAAGCCGGACCCCGTACGACGCACAAAAGTGAGTGAAGAAGGAGTGGGCTCTTCTGGCTTCGGTCACGAGCAGGTTTCACGAGCAGATTCCCCGACGTACGTCGAGGGAGCGGCTCGAAAACCAGAGTCACGCCTGAGCCCAAGAATGCTCTTCATGTCGGCGTCTGGACTGGACAACCCAGACACGAGACTCGAGACCGTGCATGCACAAACCCAGCACGCGTGCCACGCCGCGCAAGCACGCAAGCACACACATACCCGACATGTACGTGCAACACACGAACGCTCGCACGCGCGCGCAGAGACTCTCTATCCGCCTGTTGCCACTATTCGTCACTCCGCCGTGCCAAGGTTGTTCTTGAGATCCCAAGGTTGTTCTTCATGTCGGTAGGAGGCGTGGCCCTTGAGATTGCCTGGACTTGGCGCCGTGGGCTGTCTTCTGTGGGCCAGCAGGCCAACTTCGCGGCGCGCACAAGTGGGAGGTCTCGAGGGGGGGTCTCTGCGAAGGCAGGGTGCTTTTGAGGAGGGAGAGGCCTTCTTGGCAAATGAAGGCCTTCTGAGAAGGCGCCTTGGAACTTAGAAGCCGGGAGGGCTTCTAAGAAGCCCCCCGCTGCCTTTTATCCTGAGGGAAAGAAACACACAAGCACAAACGATCGTCGATTCCCCGGGACATAGAGGACGCATAGGAAGTGGAGGGGGAGACGAACATCCAGATCATATGGAACACTCGAGGGATCCTGCAACCCTCCGCGAAACTGAAGGCAAATTTTCCCCCCTCCCCCCCCCGCGCCCCCAGTGTCAATGTTCCGTTGCGCGCGCGGCGTTGTGTTCGCGGACGCCGACGGAAAAGAAAGAGCCGCGTGTCTCGGCACCGGCATTGAAGCTGGGGGGGCCTGGGGGGGCCGACGCGGCCCGGGCAAACCTTGCGGTACGCTTCGCGGAGGGATGTGGGCCCCGTGTGTTGACATTGGCTTGCGTGTCCCTGGTCTGGAGTCCAGCCTGAGTCTTCAGGGCTGCACGCTTCCCGGGACAGGGCTCGTGCGCGTGGCCCTCCTCGGGCCTCCGCGGGCGCCCCTCGTGCCCGCAGTGCGGCGCGGCTCGGCCACCTGTCTGGCCAGGGTGGAGCCCCCGACTGGGTCCAGGAACCTCTTCGGGGCGGACTGCTTGGCCGGGGGCGGGGCGAGGGGGGCGGGCGGCCCTCCGCGCCCCTCCGCCCTCGGCGGGCACCCCCGCCCGCTCAAAAGCGGCCGCCCCGCTCGCGCCCACGACGTCCCCGCGGGGCGCGCCGTCGGCCCCGCCCGCGGAGGCCCCCTCCCGGGCTCGGGGCGCCGGGGGCCCCGGAGGCGCCCCCCGCTCGGGGGGGGGCGTCCCGGAGGGGGGCGCCGAGGAGGAGGGGGGGGGCGTCGAAGGGGGGGGGCGTCCCAGAGGGGGCGTCGATTGGGGGGGCGTCGAAGGGGGGGGCGGGGACGTCCCAGGGGGGGCGTCCCAGAGGGGGGGGGCGTCCCAGAGGGGGGCGTCGAAGGGGGGGGCGTCGAAGAGGGGGGGGGCGTCCAAAGGGGGGCGGGGACGTGCTGAGATAGGAGGAGGCGCCGTGACCTCCGGGGAGGCCTCGTGGCCCCCGCCATGACATCCACGCCCCGCCCCCCCTGGTCGTCGCCCCCCTCTTGGCCGCCCCCGGCCCGTGCCTCGTTTCTGGGGAGGCCCCGGGGCACCGCCGCCGCGAGAGTCTTCCCGCCCATGGCTGCGGCTCGGCGGCGAGGCGAGGGGGGGCAAGTGAGGAGGAGGACTCCTCGGAAGGCGGCTGGACTTCGCAGGAGCCCTCGCGCCTTCTGAGACCTTCTCTGAGTCTTCGGGGACGGCTCGGGCAACTTCCCGGCAGGCCAGAGGACTTCCGAGCCTTTGGAGAAGGCCCGCCCCCTCTCACTCCTCCCCCTCGCTCGCCGCCGACTTGCTTCCTCGCGTGTCCGGGTGAGGATGCGGGCGAGTTCTGGAGCCTTCAAAGCTGCGAGCGGCATACTCGTCCTCGACCTCGTCCTCTCTCCTGCTCTCCTGAAGATCTTCTGCACCTCCTCCAACACTTTCTGATCTTCCTCCTTCTGATTCTCCTTCCCGCTCCCTGGACTTCCCTCTTCGACTCCTCCCACTTCCCTCCTCCTCCTCCTCCTCCTCCTCCTCCTCCTTCGTCCTTCATCCCTCTCCTCTTAGGCCTCCTCGTTCTCCTGATCCTTCTCTTCCTCTGCCTTCTCCTGATCCTTCTCCTTCTACGTATGGTCCGTCTTCCCCTCCTCCTCCTCCTCCTCCTCCTCCTCCTCCTCCTTCTCCCACGCCTCCTTCACGTGCTCCTTCTAGTTCTCCTTCAGCTTGTCCTCACTCTCTGTCTCCTCCCCTGATCGTCATCCTTCTTTCGTCGTGGTGCATCACCGACTGGCAGCAGTAGCGGGTCGGCCTTCAGTCAGCCCTGCCTACCATGATTTGGCCCAGAGGCAGAAACGCAGGAGGGGTAGACAAAGGAGAGGGAACAGGAGGTGGAGAACGATGAAGAAGACGAGGACAAGGACGAGGAGGGGCAGGACCGAGCAGACGAGGACGAGGAGGGCGAACGACGAAGAGAAGAACGATGGACACCATACCTGCCTGTCGCGGTATGCTTCCCCTTACTCCTCCTCGGGGGAGGACGAGGGAGAGAACGAGGAGGGAATGCAGGAGGAGGCGGAGGAGTGAGGATGAAGAGAAGTGTGCAGGGTGAGGATGAGGAGATGGGGGAGGAGGGAGGATTTCGAGGGGGAAGGGGGCGGGTGGGGGAGATGATGGGGATGCGGAAAGGGACGGGTGGAGTGAGGGGGGGGGCCCTTCCTCGTCCTCCTCCTTCCTCCTCCTTGTCCTCCACCCCTCCTCGTTTTCCTCTCTCCTCGTCCTCCTGCCATTGTCGTCCGCCTCCATTTCTCCTCCTCCTCCCATCCTTGTCCTCCCCCTCCTCATCCTACCCCCTTCCCCGTCATCGTTCATTACATCCTCCCACTCTCCTCGCCCTCCTTGCCTCTTCGTCCTCCATTCCCTCCTCGTCCCCCCGCATCCCCCCCTCCCTCTCCTCGCCCCCACCCCCTGGCAAATTGTCACCTAATCGGACACAAGCGAGGGCAGGGCAGTCGACACCCAGGGCCCCACCGCACAAACCCGAAATGCCAGCGTCGGCCGCCATCAGTGGGGTATATCGCACCCTCGCTGCGCGCCTCGTGCGGTGTGCGACCTCCGCGGTGCAATCTGCGCGATGCACTGCATGCGGCGCAGGCCACTGCCATAGCATATGGTATACACTTCTCGATGTGTGCGCGTCATCCTTGCGCAGGGGCCATGCTAATCTTCTCTGTATCGTTCCAATTTTAACGGATGATCCCCGAAGGGAATCCGGGCCACTGCTATAGCATATTGGTGCCCAACTATGGGGCGCAATCTTCTACGTGATGCAGTATTCGGGTCGGGCGAAAGGGGGGGATAGCAAAGGGGGGGTTTGAGAAGCAGCTCACGTAGCTGATTATCCCGGCGCCTCCCGGCGCCGGAGGCGCCCATGTATCGAGGAATGGGCCCCTCGGTGAGGCCGAAACCAGCTGCATGCAGCAAATTTCGTAACCCCCCCTTTCCCAATCCCCCCCTTTCGCCCGACCCGAAATCTGCAGGGTGAAGTATGTGGTGCGCTCGGTGTCGTGCAAGTCACCTTCCTGGCATATGCGCAGAACCGCCTCCCACGCTCGTGCAAGCCTCCCATCCACCAGCCCTTAGCTTATTGGTGGTGTAACCCAGCTGGGCGACGACGATGACGATGGCGATGACGATGGCGATGACGATAACGATGATGCTGCTGCTGCCGAACATCATGACGACGGAGGGACGACGTCGACGACGGAGACGGTGATGGTGATGGAACTGATTGTGATGCTGATGATGATGATGATGATGATGATGATGATGATGATGATGATGGTGCTGCTGCTGCTGATGATGATGATGATGACGGTGCTGATGCTGATGCTGATGCTGATGATGCTGATGATGCTGATGAAGATGGTGATGATGATGGGATGGTGGCGACGGTTGTAATGATGACACGGGCGATTCCGATGACGATGGTGCTGGTGAGGATGATGCGAAGTGCGCGCGCACGCGCGGACAATCCGAGATTCTGTCAATCCGTTCCTCGCAGACGATGGGGCTTTTGAACATCCGCGTTGACATGCCTTCGGCACTTATGGTTTTGGAAGGGGCGTCGACGTGCGCGCGCGCGCGTAGGCGCGCGCGTGTGGCCCGCATGGCATACTTTGGCGGCGTTGCCGAGTGCGCGATCATTGCTGGGTCGGCTCGGCATGCGCGCGCGCGTGTATGGCCCGCACGCTCCCGTTTGGCAACAACGGCACACGCCGGCGGTCTTCTTTGTTTCAGCAAATGCGTTCGTGCAGACAGACGGCAACACTTGGTTCAGGATGTTCTGATAGTCGTTGACTAGCTCTAGTTTGAGCATGTCAGGCAACCGCTGGAGATTGCGCATGATGCTTAACATGCGCGCACGGCGGCGCGCGCGTGTGGTCCGCATGTTATCATCGATCGTGTTTGTTCCAACACGCGCTTCTCAGATACACGCATCTGCACCGCATTGTACATTTTGCGTGCGAACTGGCAGGGGGTGAGTCCGTACTGGCCTGGCTGAGATGACATCACTTGGTGTACAAGATGAGCGCTCGTCTATAATGCAGATGAAAACAATACCCCGGGGGGTAGCCATAGCGCGAACCCCAACCTCGGTGGGCGGCGTGGTGCAATCGCTCATGTAAACTGTGGGTCGTGATGTATATATCCGCTACCGTGCCGCTGGGCACGGAGTGGGCGTGTCCTCAGGTCCTTTGCCCATTCCTCTAAGCCTCGATCCTCACTCCTGAAGAATTTATAAAAAGGGCCTGGACCCCTAAATTCTCAAGTTCGGCGGGGCCTGTCGCGTCTTGCTGCTTGACTTTTTCAGAATCAAGGCGGCCTAGAAACGGGCCAAGAAGGCCCCAAAAGGCCCCAAAACGGCCCAAGAGGGCCCCAAGTCAACGAACGATTGCTCCAAAACGCTCAAGATGGCTCCCCGACGCTTCCCAACCATCCAAGACGGCCCACGGGGTCCCCAAGATCGCCCCAAGACGGCCCAAGAGGACCAAACGACGGCTCAAGAGTGCCCAAAGACGGCCCCAAGAGGCAACACAGATGGGGAACCCGCACGGACATTTCGAACCCTCGGCCTCGAGGAGCCCCCAGGAGGCGCCAAGAGGCCCTCAAGAGGCCCCCAAGAGGCCCCCAAGAGGCGCTCAAGAGGCCCCCAAGAGGCTCCCAAGAGGCTCCCAAGAGGCCCCAAGAGGCCCCCAAGAGGCCCCCAAGAGGCTCCCAAGATGCCCCAAAACTGCTCCCAAGAGGCCCCCGAGAGCGCTCCGAAGCGACCCACATACTCATCCTTGAGAACTCTGACCCACAACCCAGGCACGGTGGCGGGATGGGCCGAAGATAATTCGATCATGTATGTATAGATGCGTGTACAGATTGGATGCAAGCTATGTGGTGGACTCTATGTGATGAACCTGAGGTTGATCACATCCGCGCGTGCCCACATCCAATGCTCGCGCAAACGCGTCACCCACCCACCCCCAAACATATCGGCACCGCTCAAGCGGTCGTGAGTGAAGTTGCTAGTGGTGGTGGTGCTGGTGAGACTGATAACACTAGTGCGGCTGCTGCTGCTGATGATGATGAAGATGCTGATGATGAAGATGATGGTGCTGCTGATGCTGCTGACGATGCTGACGATGTTGATGATGATGCTGATGATGCGGATGTTGGTGTCGATGCTGGTGATGCTGCTGATGACGATGCTGATGATGATGCTGATGCTGATGATGACGATGATGATGAAGCTGACGATGATGATGCTGATTATGATTATGATTATGATTATGATTATGATGCTGCTGCTGGCGATGCTGATGCTGATGATGATGATGCTGATGATGATGATGATGATGATGATGATGATGATGATGCTGATGCTAATGCGGATGCTGATGATGTTGACGACGCTGACGATGATGCTGGCGTGGAAATGCGTGCGCAGACACTTGTCCGCCACCGTGCCCTGAGGCACGCGTTAGAAGGTACTCAAATCCTTGGCCTAATCCCTTACATATCAATCCTCAATCCTGAGGATCCGTCAAACGGCTCAGATCCCATAGGGCCAAACCTTTCGGATCTTCCCGCGTGCTCCCCAAGCCCATGACGCGTCTTCCCGCACGACTTGTTCGGGCCCAGGAGGGCCCCGAGACGGGCCAAGAGCGCCGCAAGAGGCCACCAGGGCGATCCAAGAGGGCCCCGAGTCGCCGAACGATCGGTCCAAGACGCTCAAGATGGCCTGAAGACGGCTGAAGAGGCGCCCAAGACGCCCCAAGAGAGGCCCAAGAAGTCACCCAGAGGCAGCACATATCCTTAATCCCCTTTCGGGCAACGTGCATGTTTAGCATACGTGTGCAACTGTTGGCCTCACGGCGTTCAAGACAGCCGCCCCAAACAATCGCCCGAAGATGTTTCAACAGGCCCCCACGAAGGCCCCAAGACGGCCCCAAGACTGCCCAAGAGGCGCCCCAAGGGAGCCCCAAGACGGCCCACCCCAACACGGCCTCAAGTGGGGCTCAAAATGGGGAACCTGAACCGACAATTCGAGCTTTCCGTCCCCCCAAGATCCCCCAGGAGGCCACAGGAGGCCCCCAAGAGGCCCCAAGAGGCCCCCAAGAAGCCCCTACGACGCTTCAAGAGGCCCCAACACGGCCCCCCCAAGGGGCCCCTAACCTGTCTCCAAGAGGCCCCCGATGGGCCTCCCACGACATCTCAAAACGAACATCGAAGAGGCCTATGACCCACAACCCAGGCAAGGTGGCGGGATGGGAGGAGCAGGAGCAGGAGGAGGAGGAGGAGGAGGAGGAGGCGGAAGAGGAGGAGGAGGAGGAGGAGGAGAGGAGAGGAGGAGGGGGAGGGAGGGGAGGCGAGGAGGAGGAGGAGGAGGGAGAGGGGAGGGGGAGAAGGGGAGGAGGAGGGTGAGGAAGAGGAGGAGGAGGATAGAGGAGGAGGAGGAGGAGGAGGAGGAGGAGGAGGACCATTCGATACATAATGACAGGCTCCTGATTACAGCCATGGGCTTTCGTGTGTGCTCGAAAGGCCTCGGTGTTGAGACGCTTTGGGAAGCAACGGCTTGGGCAACCTTTCGGGGTACGCGCGCGGAGACGCGTGCGTGCGGCCCACGCCCTGCTCTTACCGTCGCCCGGACGTGCACTCCCCTTTTTCGTGCGTGTATTTTTTAGATTTCGTGCGTGTGCTTTTCTTTTTCTATGTTTCATTTCGTCTGATTTCGTGCGTGTATGTTTGCACTCCAGCCCTGTCCTTACCATCGATTTCGAGCGTTTATGTTTCGCAAGGCGACCCAACGTGTTCCTCGATGGCCCACGCCGAGAAAAGAAGCACACGTCCGAGCGATGCCAAGTGTTCGATGAAGACATGGCTGGTGTAAGATGGTTGCCGAATGTGGTCGGCAGGCGCGCGCACGCACGCATGGCCCGTACGCTCGTTTGCCAGGATGGCCAAACTGCGATGGCTTCTGAATATTCAGCGGGTGCGCGCGCAGAGCTCTGGCAGTCTTTGATTATCATGTTCTGGACACACATTGGCTTCGAATGATTTTGAGATGCGCGCGTGGCGGCACGCGAACGTGACCGCATGACATGTTTCGCGAGCAAAAAGTACTTGCTACATCAACGCACGTGCACCGCATAATGTTCCTGTGCCAGAGACGGCAGGGGGGGGAGTCGACGCCAGCTGGCCGGGGATGGTAATTATAGTAATCCTACTTCTGAAGACACGATCGTGCACAACAAGCACGGATATTTAGACAATACCCCGAGGGGTACCGCGAAGTCCGGCCTCGGCAGGGGAGTAGATCCTGACTCCTCGCAGGGACCAAGGAATTCATGACGAGCGAGCTCCTGCCACGCGAGCCGCCGTACGAGCCGCCCACGGGCGCCCGCCGATCCAAAGTCCGGAATCGCCGGCGAGCGAACCAGCCCACGAGGCGCCCACGGGTCGCCCACTGGGCGCAGACCCTGAGCCGCCAGCCTGCGCACGAATGGCCCGCGTTCCGCCCACGGACGCCCACCGGACCCGCGTCCGCAGCAGCAGGCCGATTGTCAGGGGGCCCAGGGACACGCACGCGAACAGACAAGCACAAATCCCAGGATTCAGCATTTGCGGGGTCTTCGTCTTCCCCCCCCCCCCCCCCACACTTCCCACATTTTCCTTTTGCTTTCATCAACACAAATCCCAGGATTCGGCATTTTCTGGGTCTTCGTCTTCCCCCCCCACTTCCCCTATGTTCCTTCTGCTTTCCTGGAAGCCGACGTTCGCTTGTACCTGTGCGTGCTCTTCCCCCTCCCGAGGTTGCCCAGCAGCGGGCGCCAGGGCCTCCAGTCCGGGCGCTGCCCGGGGAGCAGTGCGCGACAGGGTGGGGCCCTCGCCCCCGGGGCACCGGCATTCCTCTTGGGGCTCCCCGGCCCGGTGGCCCGTTCCCTCCTCCTCCTCCTCCTCCTCGTCCTCCTCCTCCTCCTCCTCCTCCTCCTCCTCCTCCTCCTCCTCCTCCTCCTCCTCCTCCTCACTTCCTCCTCCTCCTCTCCTCCTCCTCCTCCTCCTCCCGCCTCCTCCTCCTCCTCCTCCTCCTCCTCCTCCCTCCCCCTCCTTCCTCCTCCTCCTCCTCCTCCTCCTCCTCCTCCTCCTCCTCCTCCTCTTCCGCCTCCTCCTTCTCCGCCTCCTCCTCCTCCGCCTCCTCCTCCTATTCCTTCCACGGATGGGGTCGCGCGTCCTTTCCTCGGAAGGCGACCAAGGCTGGCGTGGATCGAAGCGCCGTGCCGTCCACTGGCCTACACTGCAGCGCCACCGCCTGGTCCGCGCAGGCAGGCAGCACGTCGATGGTCAGCGCGTCCCTGGCGCACTTCCGCAGGGAAAGCTACGCAGATTCTCTTCTGAGCCCAGACCTTAACACACTATGGAAGGAATGCTCCAACACCAGGGTCGCCAACGCGTGCTGCAATCTGGCCTTGACTGTTGAACTCATTGAACAAACAAACAGCTGCACACCTTTGAACGTATCGCACAATTCTTTTGTTTGTGTACTGCCTTGGCACGCCACCTTCTACCTAATCTAGCAGACACTCCTTCGCAAAACTTCGGAGACAAAGGACACCAGCGCCGCTGGGATCCAGCCTCCGCGCCTCGCTGCAGTCGGCGACCACTCCTCGATGGTATCCGATTGGCAGCTTCTTCGTTGCCGAATCGTGGAGAAGCTGGATGCGCGGAGCGTTCCCGTTCTGGCCAGGGATCGGGAACGCCGTCTGACTTAACAGTGGTATCGCCCGCGTAGATCTGCAGCAGCAGCGCGTCGTCGTCAACACGCTCTGGTGTTTCTTGATGAGCCCTCTGCAGGGGCACTCGCTTGGGCGCACTCTTCATCCTCAGCATGCTTCGCGTCGCCCTCGCCGACGCAGCTCATCGTTTTGAGCAGGGACCGACCGTCCCGGCATTCCTATCGTCCTACCACGAAAATGTTCTAAGAACCAAGCAATGTTCTTTAAACATAACCCGATGTGTTTAATCAAGACAATATCCACCAGAAACGTTCTAAGAACATGTCGTGGAAACCACAAAAGGTTCTGAGAACATTGTTTGGTAGGGCTATAGGCACGCCAGGACGCTTCGCCACTGCTTGAGTTGAATGCACCGCAAGTTCATCGACTGCGCCAAGCGGCGACCCAGCCGAGCCGAGCGCGTCTCGGTCTGGTTGGCGCGCACACGGGGGGGTACAGTGCAAGGGGAGCGGCCTTCGGAGAAGGCGGAAGGCTTCCTGGAACGCAGGTGAGGAGCCGAACTCTATACACCGACGCCTCTGTCTGGCCTCGCACTAAATTTCACACATGAAAGCGGATCCTGGTGTATACGGGATCCTGGTGTATACATTCTTCGTCGTCTCCACAGAAAAACGGGGAAACAAGTATACACCACACCACCCCGACGTCGTCCACGACCCTCAACAAAAGTCCTGGGATTGAAAAACCGCCCGCCACTGGTCATGTGTATGCTCCAGTTTCTGAGCAGGGGCCTCCTCAGAAACGCTCGGATGCCTCTACGAAGGCTCCGTCGACTAGTGGCGCTGGCATGGCTTCCAGGAAGCCGCCCGCCTTCTTCCGAGCGCCTCCTCGTGCGCGCCGCCGGCAGTCAGCCTCTGCTGCTCCCGGGGGGCGCGGCGTGGGAGGCGACTGCGAGCGCCGTCCTGCTCCGCTTGCTGGGCGGCACCAGCCAGCCAGACGGCGCCGACCTCGCGGAAGGCCCCTCGCGCGGGCCGCCCACGGCGGCATCCGGGAGCGCCTCGCGGCCAGGAGCCGCCGCGGTCGGCGCGGCCAGTCGGAGCTGGCGCCGGCGCAGGGCAGCGAACAGGCGCGCGGCGCTGACGTACCCGCCCTGGGCCGGGGCTGGCTCCGCGCCGCCGTGGGCCGAGAGGTAGAGGCCGTGCGAGGAGGAGCGCCGACCGGCCACACCCGGGGGGGCGGAGGAGGGAGAGGAGGAGGAGGAGGAGGAGTGATGAGGAGAGAGGAGGAGGAGGAGGAAGAGGGAGGAGGAGGAGGAGGAGTGAGGAGAGTGAGAGGAGGAGGAGGTAGGGGAGGAGGGGGGAGGGGCGGAGGCAGGGGGAGGAGGGGGAGGAGGGGGACGATGAGGAGGAGGAAGAGGAGAAGGAGGTCTGCAACCAAGGGGACACCGGCGGGGGTGTCCGATACCCCCGCGTCGACTGGACCCGCAGGGCCCAGTGTCGCAAGTGGTCGCAGGTATAAGGACTGCAGCTCCCCCGGCTGCGGCCGGCCTGGAGTGGCGGACGGTCCCGTCGCACAGCTCCGCGCCGCCAGGGCCGCGGGGCAGGAACGCGAGCCCAGGCCTCAGCTTGTGTTGATCCGATTGTACTTAAGGACCACATCCCACAAACAATCATCCCTCCTCCCTCCGCCCCCTCCCTCCCCCTCCCTCCTCCTCCCTCCTCCCTCCTCCTCCTCCTCCTCCTCCCCTCCTCCTCCTCCTCCTCCTCCTCCTCCTCCTCCTCCTCCTCCTCCTCATCCCAATCCCGAGCACCCCACAAAGTGTCATCGGGACAATGTCTGCTAGACACGCTGGCGAGGTGCCAGGCGAGCAGCGCCCGCCAGACGGCCCGAGACGCGAGAGCCGCCCGGTGCCGATGCTTCGCTGGGTGCTCGAGGCTCTTCGCTGGGTGAGCAAGGCTACAAAGTAGGTGTAAGTCGGGACTGTCCCCCTATACAAGGGGGCTTTCGAGGAAAAAGTTTATAGAGCCAAAACATACGCAAAAATTGCCAAACAATGCTCAAAACATCGTTCCACGACTGTTATTTGACTGTTTTTGAACGCTCCTCCTGTAGAGGGACAGGCCAAAACATACGTAGAATTGGTCCAATAATGCTCAAAACATCGTCCCCCGACTATTTTTTTTTTGCTATTTTTGACTGTTCCTCCTGTAGAGTAGAGGGACAGGCCCGACTTAAATTCTTGGCTGGAACACCTGGGGCAGTGCAAAGGGGGGTCACCACTAGGGGGTCGCCACTTCCTCGAGGAAACGCCACTTCCTCGAGACTTCCTCGAGGAACTGGGCCCCCCAGAGCCCCGAAAACGCAAAGAAACGTCCAAGAGCATCCTCGACCCCTCGACTCTCCATCCTGGAACCTCGATTTCCAGGAGAAGCTGGCGACCCCCCCAGTGGTGACCCCCCTTGGCACTGCCTGAACACCACGGGCCTCAGCGCCCTCCAGCGCACCCCGTCCAGGCGCGCCGCCTCGCCCGCCGAGACCAGGGCGCGGAACTCCGAGACCCGGAGCGGCCCGCCGCCGCCGCCGCCCGGCGGGCTCGGCGCGCCCGCCGAGACGAGGGCGCGGCGCGCGCAGGGCCTGAGCCGGGAGCTGGGCTGCCAAAACCGTGGCTGCTAAAACGGAGGTCGATCTTAGCAGCCACGGATTTAGCAGCCCCTGCCCGGCTTCCGACTGAGGCGGAGCCAGGAGTCGAGGCCGGCATCGGGCGAGGGCGGATCGCGAAGCTCGGAGAGCGGGCGGCTCTGGAGGACGTCTCGCGCGCCGCGGCCTGCTCCGGGGCGCCCTGAGAGCCTTCGTGGGCGCTCGACGGATGCCCGGAACGGATGCGTCCTTCGCAGACGGGGGGAAAACGGGCCCTGGGCTCTCGGGCCTTCCCCACAGGGCGACCTCCACTGCAGGAGCCGCTCCCTCACGCTCCCGAGGCTCGCGGAGGGCCCCGGGAGCCCGAACAAACGGCGACAAACCTCGGGACCCGTTTCCCTCGGGTCGGCCGTTGCCAGAACTGGGTTTAGTGGGACCTGGTTCAGAGATGAGTACTCGGGGACGCCCCCCCCGCCCCGTTCCACGAACCGGAACTGCCGCCACCCGGTTTAGTGATTCTTGGCAGTTCCGGGGCTCCACGGCCCTATCACTAAGCGGGTCCCCTTAGTTCTGGCTCTACCCGATCGGTACCCTCGGCGGTGGACAAACCTCCCTTTAGTAGACCTCCCCTGAGTGAAAAAGGCCTGGGACCGAAACCGACGGACCTGGACCCGCAAAAATGACGGCCGCGACGCCCTCTCGCGAACCGACAAGTTTGGACGCCCGAAATGGGCACGGAAAGAATGGGTACAATGCCCAACAACAAATGTTGTCCCCATCCAACAGCGGCCGCTGTTGGGCAGGCGGCCTCCTGTCTCAAACGGACACAGGCCGCGGCGGCGCGGACAGCGAGTCCTGTTCAAAATGAACTGGAACTGCTGTTGGGCATTGTACCCATTCTTTCCGTACCCATTTCGTTCTAATCGACGTGTCAGGGTAGGAGGTCTATCCACCCCCGATGCCCGATTCCCCCACGGCGACTGGCCCAGTCCGGCAGCCTGCGCTGGCGCAAGAACGCGTGCCGCCGGCGCGCGGGGGGGCCCTGCCGGAAGCGCACGCCCAGCACCCCGCCACTCCAAGGCTCCAGCAGCGAGGGGAACTCCCGGAGCAGTGCCTGCGCGCCCCGCGCCTCCGAAGGGGGCCCAGGGGGCACACACAAATGAGTAGACGCAGCTCCCATGATGCCCTGTATATTTTCGGTGTTTCCTGGGTTTTCGTCTCGCCCTCCACTTCCCGAGTGGCTTCCATATTTTCCCGCGATCGACGATGAGTTGTGCCTGTGTGCTTCTCCCCTCCTGCACCTCTTGCACCCGCCGCTCCGCGGCCGACATCCTGGCCTGGAGCCCCCCGCGGTTCGTCTTGCAACGTGTCTTGGCACAGGGCTCGAGCTGAACAGTGTTTTCAGGTTTTGTGCTGCTTTCGTTTTCCCTCGTTTCGTGTTCTCTCGTTCTCTATTTTCTTTGTGTGTGTGTGTGTTTTTGTGCCTCTGCTGCAGAACGGCATCAACACGAAAGCGGTCCACGAGGTCGCCCAACCACCGCTTAGCTCGGGCCCCGTCTTGGCACAGTAGCCGCGGTAGCGCAGCACGGCCCCGTCGAGCTGGAAGAAGCGGACGGTGCGCTCGACGTCCTCGTGGCCGTCGCCGTGCCGCAGCAGCAGCTCCTCCCTGTGCCTGCCCGCAGGGGGGACGCTCAGCGGGTCCTCCACCCCGGGGCCCTCGCCCCAGGGATGAGCTCTTCCTCCAGAGCCGCCTGCGGACAGCCCCAGGGGTCCGTGGAGGGCCCCGAGAGCCCGAGAACGGCGAAAAGCCTCTGGACCCGTCTCCCTC